TGATATTTGGAAGAAGCAAGCAGAGAGCTAGGAAGCAAGTCTCCCTAGCCAGAAGGACTGGAGGGGCAGTTGGCTCCACTCCCCAGCAGGAGATAATGTGGGGAGATGTCTGCAGTTTCCCTTGTGGGAGACTTCAGGGAGCCAGCCAGCCCCATGGGAGATCATTGATCAGACTTTGCCTGCTACTCATCAGTGTGTGCTACAAGGTGTGATGGGATGTGTACCCCACACGGGCCTTCAAGGGGCTGCAAGGCCAATTAATGTTGTCTGGCTATACCTGGAGAGAGATCCAGACTTAACTGATCATGTAGCCCAGCAGGGCAGGAGCAGGCTGGTTAACATCAAGTTAAGAAGTTGAGAGTAGAGGGGGCTGCAGGGAGAGTCTACAGTCTCTCTCTGGGGGACAGAAGAGATAGGAAGCAGTCCAGGGAGGCAGCAAAGTATCTGAGGGAGCAGACCTTGGCTGCCAGCAACAGGGTCCCTGGGCTGGAACCCAGAGTAGAGGGTGGGCCAGGGTTCCTGTATCAGCCACCAAGGAAGAGGGGCGGGGGAAGCCCCTGAGGGAAGAGGTGTGTAACCCCCTTGGGGTTCACAGAACATAGACCTTTAAATCTTTTTCCGGGGGGAGGGGGCAGTGCTGATTGTTCCAGAAGGAGGAGGTGCTGTTGGGGAAGAAGGGGAGCAGAAAGAGAGGGGAGAGCAAGAGGGTGTGTTTCTAGTTGGGACAGAAGAGCTTCAGCAAGCAGGCCCTCACAGAATGAAGCAACCAAGAACCTGCCTGAAGCCTGGGAAGGACAGAGCAAAGGATCGGAGCTACTCCAGAACAGGACCCAGGAGAAGCACTGTGCCAGGGAGGAATCACCTGAGAATAACAGACTGGAGTTGGACCTAGTATCACTGCTGCCCAGAGCTGCATGGGGCTGTGAGTACTGGGGCTGGTGACTCTGCATTGGGAAAAAGGAGGAAGGTTGTAGGTAGCTAAGTGGGGAGGTGGTCGCTCTGTGTGGCTTTGCAGAGAGCAGCAGAAGAGGGCACCGGAGAGGTTTGTTGAGGAAAGTGTACTGGTGCTGAAGACGACCAGGACCACCCAAGACTCATCAACAGACTGGAACTCTGCCCAGGACTCCTGGACTCATTGCTTGGTGTCTGCCCTTTCAGACTGTGGTACCAGTGGGCCTGTGAGGCCTTGTGTTGAATGCAACCCTGTTTCACCGCTCCCCCCATATTTCCCCCTGTTGTTTTTCCCCTCTCATCCCTCTGTGAATAAATATTTCCCTTTCCTATATTCATTGTACTCTTCTGGGTGGTGGGTGTGTGTGGGGGGGTGCGTGTTCACTCTGTGGCGGGGTTAGAACAGGTGCCCATGGGCTGGAAAGGACTTTCCCTGCTGCATTCCTGCGTGCACCTTCTCTTGGCCAGAGCTGCCTGCAGAGCAGATTCCATCTTGGCCACGAGGATGCTAAAGTTACAGGTGTAAGGCCCACGGAGCCCAGAGACAGACAGAAGACCTGCCGTAAGATCACTGGACTATAGCTGGGTTGGACTCTCAGTTACCCTGGAAGAGGTGGGCTAAAGTGTGACCTGGGCGAAGAGAGACCACTGTAGCAATGGAGCAACATTGGCTGGAGCATCATAGGGGCAGACAGCCGCGACACCACATCTGGGCACAAAGAGGTGGTCCTGTGGTGAGTGAACCTATTTATAGAGGACAACAGCACAACTTGAAGGACCTAATCCTGCTTCCAGTGAAGACAGCGGCAGTTTTATCACTAACCACAGCACATGCAAAATTAGGGCCTAGCCTAGCACTGGTCATTTAATCAAAGTTTTACTAATTGGTTACCAGCATTAATGGATCAGTAAATAAATATGTGGTTAGATATAGTGGGTGGCTAGCATCCCTCTCTGTTCTGCTTGAAACATTCAGATTATATTTAAAAATAGGAATTTGTCAACAGTACAACCCACTCTGAGGAAGTGCCCTGAGGACGGAAGAATCCCATGCACCGCTACAGACCAGGGACCGAATGGCTAGGCAGCAGTTCTGCAGAAAAGGACCTAGGGGTTACAGTGGACAAGAAGCTGGATATTAGTTAACAGTATGCCCTTGTTACCAAAAAGGCCAACGGTATTTTGGGATGTATAAGTAGGGGCATTGCCAGCAGATCGATGGAAGCGATCGTTCCCCTCTATTCGACACTGGTGAGGCCTCATCTGGAGTACTGTGTCCAGGTTTGGGCCCCACACTACAAGAAGGATGTGGAAAAATTGGAAAACGTCCAGCGGAGGGCAACAAAAATGATTAGGGGACTGGAACACATAACTTATGAGGAGAGGCTGAGGGAACTGGGATTGTAGTCTGCGGAAGAGAAGAATGAGGGGGGATTTGATAGTTGCTTTCAACTACCTGAAAGGGGGTTCCAAAGAGGATGAATCTAGACTGTTCTCAGTGGAAGCTGATGACAGAACAAGGAGTAATGGTCTCAAGTTGCAGTGGGGGAGGTTTAGGTTGGATATTAGGAAAAACTTTTTCACTAGGAGGGTGGTGAAACACTGGAATGCGTTACCTAGGGAGGTGGTGGAATCTCCTTCCTTAGAAGTTTTTAAGGTCAGGCGTGACAAAGCCCTGGCTGGGATGATTTAGTTGGGGATTGGTCCTTCTTTGAGCAGGGGGTTGGACTAAATGACCTCCTGAGGTCCCTTCCAACACTGATATTCTATGATTCTATGATTTACACAGTGCTTGCAAACACAGCTTATGTAATGTTCCCTGCCCAAAAGAACTTAGGAAATGTTAACTTAAAGCTTGCATGGTTTTTAAAATTTTTTTCCCCCATTCAGTTTTCTATAGTCTGCTGCCTGGTTACGCTGTTACATTTTCTGCATCATGGATAGAAACTAAAACTCCTTGTTTTTCTGATAATTGTTACCTCTCCATTTAGATCCTTCAGGGACATTGGCTTTCTGTAACCGAACTGCACTTCTAAGAGGCAGGAGATACCTGGCTTCAACTCTTCCTAGCCAATGGGCTTCCCCATAATCTATGACCCATCATGTTTTACAATTCATTTCAGTGGACTAGACACGCGAATATATATATATATAGGAGACAGCCTCTGAGTGCCGAATTAATTCATTGTGATCAGTGTTATTACAGAGGGAAACAAATGAATTCCTTATACCAGAAAGTGATGCTTCCCCAAAGAATGAATAAATAATAAACAATCCTGACCGTAATCTGCCAGTGTAAGTGATCAGTTCTGTGAGACAGCCGCCTGTTATTTATGTTCAATAGCTATACTGCGCTGGTGATTAAAACACGGGTGTTCGCTCATCGTTCCCATTATATCTTTAAGTCAATGTAACTCTGCATCAGTTTCATTTGAACGTCACTTTATATTACAACTACCCCCTACACCCCATACTTGTATTTTTTTATTTATAGGTATTTTGGTCTTCCCATTTATCGGTCCAACAGAGACTCTGCAGATTTAGGTGATTGTTTATTTATCATTTGTATTATAGAAGCACCTAGAGGCCTTAACCAAGATCAGAATCCTATTGTGTTAGATGCTGTACATATACATAGCGAGAGACAGTTCCTGCTGTAAAGGTCTTACCACCTAAATAGACAAAACTGAGAAACAGTGAAAGGAAGTATTATAATCCTCACTTGAGGCACAGAGACACTGATTGACTTGCCCAGGTAGAAACTTAGTAACAGGGTCAAGAACTAAACCCAGCTCTCCTGAGTCCCACTTTAGGGTCTCAACTCCAAGACCATCCTTCTTCTCAAAGGATCCTTCTCTCATCAGACGGACTCACAGAAAGTATGTTAAATACTTCAGAGCTCCTCCTCCCCAATGATGTCTGGTACACTGTGAAGGTCAAAGGAACTAGTATCGCTGAGAGTGTGGTTTCCAAAGACACAAGATATGAAACAGTCTAGTGTGGCCAACTTATCCACTTATATTTAGCTAGCACTGACAAATCTGACTTTAATAGCTGTCAAGGGGACTGGATGGCACAAGGCATTAACGTGGTACAGAGCCTTACACCTCTAAGTTATGGGGTCTTATCTGGATAAGGCCAGCAGCCTCCTCAAGTTGTTACCATTGTTGGTTAAATGTGTGGGTGCCTTCAGTATAATTCTAACTGGAATTGTGTCATATGCCGTGACCAGAACTAGCACCTTTGCGGACAGTCTAAGGGGAGAGGTCTTTCATGATTATTTAGATTTTGAGGTATTTGGGTTAGGGACTGTCTTTGCATTTTGCTTGTGTACAGCGCCTAGCACGACAGGGCCCCCATCCCAATTCAAAGTGTTTCCAAACTGTAAATAATGGGGAGAGAGTGAGCGAGCGTGCCTGCCTGGCCCCATGGAAGTCAATTGGAATTTTCCCTGATTCAATGGCCCAGGATTTTTCCCATAGAGTCCAATGATTGCAGAGGCATGGAGAGCGAAGTACTCCATTTGTACAGCCTGGCATTTGTACAGTTGGAAGCACACTGACAGCGCATGAGGAGGAACAAGATGACCTAACGGCCCAATCCTGCAACCTACTGAGCATTTCCTGTGAGATGCTGAACACCAGGCGACATGGAGGACTTGATAGACTTAGAGTTTAGAAACAGGATTGGGCCCAAATCTAAAGACTTTACTTAATTTTTACTTCCTATTTACTCAGCCAAAATTCCATTCAAGTCAGTGGCATTTTTGCCTGAGTAAGGACTGACACTGAAGAAGGGCTTCTGGATTTGACCCATTCACTACAAAGCTTATAAAATAGTGTTCCTCTTTTCATCAGTTTATAGACGGATCCAAGAGAAAATAGCAAAACTGCTCATGTTTCCCCCTTTTCTGATCAGAGGCATTTGTTAACCCTAACCCTATCACCAGAAAATGAGAAACATTACAATTAAATAGCATTATTTGCTTTTAAACAGTCACACACTGTAATAATCCACCTCCTCCCCCAAAATAAATGAATAACACTCACTTTTTAATTTACCTTTTTGAAGTATCTAGGAATAACCCATCAAATACTCCTTGAAGAATGCAATTTTAACCTGGACATGTGTTAAACTCAGTCTACCTGTTGAAACATGTACACAGAAAAAGAAATTGGTCATTAAAAAAAATAATCTTAATCCTATACAAACCAAGAATTAGAAATAGCTACTTATGAGCCACCTGGGTCACATAATTCCAGTCTCCTTTGCTCACACAACTGCTTGATATGAACACTGCTGCTGGGATTACACTAGATTGAATGTTTTTGTTAAAAAGTAAATAACGTGATTGTCAGGTACACAACATGAAGTCCATTGTTCCCCGGCAGTTAATATGTTATGTGGCAAACCAAGGGTTAAGAGCAGACCTTTTCTTAAAGGATCACACACATTAAAGATGGAAAAGACCAGTTAGACCATCCAGTCCATCCCATTCCACGGCCAATAGAGGACAGTTCTGTAAAGTACCCAGTGTTGGCTCCAGCCTGTGTCCTAAAAGCAATGTTGTCACCATTCCTTCCCTTAGAAGACAATTTCAGAGGTTAATAGTTCTCCCTCTTTGGAAGATTTTTTTTTCTTATATTCAGCCTAATCAAACCTTTTTAATCCAGTTCCATTCACTGAGTTAGATCCCTATTTACCCACTAAGTAATTCCACTCCCTCCTTACTGGTTACACTCATTTCATCTTTGTAAATTTTGTCTCCCCTGGAGCAGTCTTTGCTGGTAACAAGGTGCCCCAAACCAAGTGTAATATTCCAAGTATGTGGCACCAGATCAATATACAGACAAGCTTTCACATCCCTTATCTGTGACAAAATGCCCCTGCAATACACAGACCAAAACTGCACTGGCCTTTTTATGTTGCCATATCACACTGCAAACTTAGTGTCCATGACTCTCTGAAGTGAGCTGTAGCTCACGAAAGCTCATGCTCAAATAAATTGGTTAGTCTCTAAGGTGCCACAAGTACCCCTTTTCTTTTTGCGAATACAGACTAACACGGCTGTTACTCTGAAACCTGACCACCCAAGGTGCACTGAAATGGTTCTCCTACTCCCTCCTGCGCTCTCCTCCAGCTTACATATCCTGAGTTCTCTTTCAACATTTCTCCTTCCTAAGTTATCCGTCCCTTTTGTTGGTTGGGTGCATTTAGCATGACTTCTCCCACAATCCGATACATTTTCATGTATTATTAGCCTTTGTTTGTGTCTCTTCAGATGGTTTTTAATCAACATCATTGCAGGGTCTCTATCTAACGCAATCTGAATTAATCTTGAGATCTCCTCTATCTTTGGTGCTCATTTCAGAAGAGCAGAAACAAAAGTAGAAGAGGCCATTCGTCACAAGAATGCCCCACTGAGTGATCTTGATGATAAAAGGAGCTGCGATCAAACTGAGCTCTCTCCTTTGTCAGAAGCAGAATATCTAATGTATTTATATGAGCTCCATCACCATAGTATCTGAAAGCCTCTATTTTTTAATGTGTTTATCCTCACAATACCGATCTGCGGAAAGAAAATGCTATTATCCCCATTGTACAAATGTGGAAATGAGGTGCTTGTAGCCTGGTGGGCCAGCTTACCTCTGTTATATTCACTGCTTTGTATTATATTCTGCTTTATTATTGTTAGCAGTAATGCAAGGAACCTACAAGCCTGCATCCTGTAAGACACTAGCTTCATCAGTTAGCATAAGGCTTGAGGCCTAGGAACTTTGGCCTAGATAAATTTAGGTAACCCATAAGTTTTGGGTTGGTGGGAATTTTGTCCATAATGACATCAGCCAACCACAGAAACATAAACTAATACAAGCTTCTGGTAGGTTTTGGACGGAACATCCGACCACAAGAGTGCCATGGCAACGCACTGACGTATATGATAATGGGGTGAAATCATAAATATACTAACCTGTCGAAGGACACCTCAACAATGGTAAGGGGAGGAAATACAAATAAGAGGCAAGAAACTCCTACTGAATATGCATTAGACATAGATAACATCAGTGTAACATATTATAAAAGTGGCATCCCAGCCTGTGGGCAGGAGGAGAGAGATGTAGCCCTCAGGAGGGGTCAGAATGATGGCCACTGGTGAAAATGAGGAAGGTGATGGTGATGAGGAAGCTAATGGCTAACATTTCACATTGTTCTGTAAGGGATGGTGTGAGTATGGATATTCAGATGTACTTTCTGTATTATCTCTATCTACCTTGCTAGGTTAGAGTGTGTGTGACTTTGCGAAATATATTAATAAATTATTTATTTGTAAATATAGAAGAGTTCCTATAGTGTGAGTGTTGCACCTGTGAACATCGGGGGTTCCCAACTATATAATAATCTTAATAATACTGAGTCTGATTTGGGGACAAGAACCTGCCTACCCTTGAAGTGATAACTAGAAATTCTTATTCATAATCTATAGATCAAGCAATGCCCAATTCTTAGGCACCTCACAGCCCAGTGAAATACAGAGCCCCAGCTCTGACACCCAGGCTTCCCATGCATTGTATGGAGAGATGCATCCGATGAAGTGAGCTGTAGCTCACGAAAGCTCATGCTCAAATAAATTGGTTAGTCTCTAAGGTGCCACACGTACTCCTTTTCTTTTTGCGAATACAGACTAACACGGCTGCTACTCTGAAACCTGTATGGAGAGAGTTTTGCATCGAAGAGAGGATTCTCAGAAGCCAGCAAGTAGAGAGAGGAGCTGCCTAAGTTAGCCAGTAGGAAATGCTGAGGAAAGAGACAGGATTTGGATACCGTGGATCTGGGTCTTAACTCCCATTGATCTGGGCTAGGGAGGCACCTATCTCTGCTTGCAATTCTCAGTCATGAGCCCTCTCCTGGAGTTAGGCACCAATGCCTGGTCAGCCCTTCCTTGTGGAAAACCAGAGCGACACTCCCCAACCCATTATAGCGAATGGCTCAGTGGTCAGGATGCTCTGCTGGGAAGTAGGCGACCTGTTTTTAAATCCTCACTCTCCCTGATTTGGAGCAGGGACTTGAACCCAGAACTCCCACTTTATAGGAGTGTGCTGTAACCATGGGGCTATTGGCTATTCCGGAGTGGGTCTCTCACAGCCTCTCCTGTTGGAGCTGTTCTACTCTGTAAAAATAATTTAATATTCACTGGGCTGCAGAGAGAAAAAGTGAAAGATTGACTCTCTGGCCTGGTGGTTTGGGCACTCACTTGAGAGAGCGGGGTTCCCAAACCCTGCTCCAAATCAGGCACAATGGAGATTCAGACTCAGGTCTCCCAAATCCCAGGTGAGTGGGCACCTATGGGGATTTAGATGCATGCAGAAACTGACCAGTCCTTTGGAGAGCGTAAATGGTGCTTAAATGCTTTCGTTAATCTAGACTTGAGGAACTTGCCCAACATCACATAGGATATTTGTGGCAGCATGTAGACTTGAACCTGGGTCTTGTAAGTCCTAAGATACAGTCCTAAGATACTACCTCTCTCCACCAGCCAGCAGTGTGTAAGAGTTCACACTTACACGAATCAGGAACACTTACTGTCCATGGTGACAGCATCATGTTGTACTGATACTACGAGAGAAGAAGCATTTGAGAGGATGCAGGATAACCCTAGAAATCATGGGGTGGGTGTGGCCCCTAACAGTGACTACAGAAAAATGTCCTTTCAGGTACAGGGCAAAAGGCTGAGAATTAAATTTCTACAGCAATCTTTTTATGTTTGGGTTGTACTCTTGCAGAAATGTTAACTGAAGCTTCTTAAACAGCTCTGAAATATTCTTGGAAACTCCAAGATCGCATGCAGCTTAATAAGAACCAGCAGGGAAAAAAACCCATGCAAGCCAAAAAAAGAACCAGCCATTTCAAGAAGCATCAACTATGACAGAAAAAGAAATCATCGGTTAAGAGAGAGAATAACAGAGCATGGAGAGAATTAAAAAGAGCAGTGCCTGAATACTATTAGAGGGTGTTTGCAGAACCCAATTTCACAAATGAATTTTTTTAAACACACACCACAATTAATCGGAATTATAATAGCGTCTGCCCTCTTCAGTAACACACTAAGCATTGAAAGACATATAGGACACCACATTTACGAACAATATCACCACCCAAATGGGGAAATGATTATGCATGTCTTTTTCCTCTAAACTTGCAAATGAGGCCTAGCTAGAGCTGAACTCTCTTTGAATCACTAAAAATAAGCATAAGAAACTTCATCTAAATCCATCACTGCTGCAATTTAATACTACATAGCACTTCAGTATAACATAATTAGCAAATGTATTGCAATAATTTATTTGGGGTTTAAAAAGCCTGAACAATCAGGACCTTAAAGCAAAATGGGAAGCTATGAGCCAGACACATTCTTCTGGCTCATATTAATTCAGTTATTTTACCTTTGGCGCACATTCATCTACCCATACAACGTGAATGCTCCATAGAGAAGGCTGCTGAATATTGAACCTTTGGCTCAATTTGAAATACGAAGGCTGATGCATAGCAGCAATAATACTTCCATTTGCATTATTATGATTAACATCCCTCTGAATAGGAAGCATCCAGCAATATTAATTACAGAAACAGTGAGATTCAAATTGTCATAAATCATTATACAGCATATGATAAGCTCCCCAAAACCTTATCGAAAACTAATTTTGCATGACTTTTGAAGTTGTTCCCCTATGAATTTCTACCTCATTTTCATGAGGCTTTCTAACTAGTGGCTGTTGACAAGACGGTAATAATACTTTGAACCTAATTAACACATTCTATGCAGTGAAGAAAGCTTTTACAAGGATGGATGAATTTAAAAGTGATCCTGCATTGAAGACTTATTTTCCAACAGGTACCCACTTATGTCCTATTGGACAGCAGGAAGAATGGCCTGTGGTTAAGGAAGTGGATTGGGACTCAGGCAATCTGGTTTCAATTCAATGCTCTGCCACAGACTTCCTCTGTGACTCTGGGCATGTCATTTAACATCTTTATGCATCAGTGGGCCATCTCATCACAGAGGTGGTTTCCATCAGGTCGGAAGCGAAGCATATTGGAAAGGGGTGTTTGCAGAGTGAACATCTGCACCATGGAGTCCTACATGCTG